CTTAACTTAATGTTAAAAGACTGAATGCTTTCCTCCTGAGATTAGGAACAAGGCAAGGATGTCCACTCACCATTCTTATTCAACATAGCAAGGTTTATAGCCAGTGCAATAAGACCAGAAAAGGAAATAAAAGGAGTACAGATCAGAAAGAAAGAAATAAAACTGTCCCTCCTTGCAGATGACCTGACAGTCTATGCAGAAAATCCTGAATAATCTACAAAAATATTCCCAGGTCCAGTAGGCAAGTTCAGCAAGGTGACAGGATACAAGATAAACATACAAAAACCAATTATATTTCCACATACTAGCAATAAATTCAAGGACATAAAAATTTTAAAATACAGTATTATACAAAAATTAACTCAAAAAAAAAAAAACCTACAAACAATACTAAGAACATGTACAAGTGTACAAGATTGGTGTACTAAAAACTACACAACACTTATAAAAGAAATCAAAGATGTAAATAAATGGAGAGACATACCATGTTCACTTATTTAGAGACTACACTTGGGAAAGATTTCAATTCTTCCCAAATTTCTGTACAGGTTTAATGCAATTCCTATCAAGATTGCAGAAAGACTTGTAGATACTCATATATAAGATTATTCTAAAATTTATACAAAAGGCAAAAAGAACTAGAATAGTTAAAACAATTATGAAAAAAAAGTGGGAGGAATCAGTCTGATTTCAAGACCTATTACATAACTACCACTAATCAAGGCTGTGTGGTATGGGTGGAGACACATAGGTTAACAGAACAGGATAGAAAAGGATCTGCAAATGAACCATCACAACTAAGTCCAACTGATTTTTTTAAAAATATTCAATGAAGGAAAGATAGCCTTTTAAACAAATGGTGCTAAAGCAATTAAACATCCGTAAGCAAAGAAATAAACCTCAATCTAAGTCTCCCACCTTATACAAAAATTAACTCAAAATGGATCATGGACCAAAAATGTAAAATGTAAAACTACAAAATTTTTAGAAAAAAAATAGAAGAAAATCTTCAGATTTGAGGGCTAGGCAAAGAGTTCTTACACTTGACACCAAAAGCACATCCATAAAAAGAAAAACTGGTAATCTGAACTTCATCAAGATTAAAAACAAAACAAAAACAGGCCTTACAATTTAAAAAGTCATAAATAAAACAGTTCTAGAGGATGGCTGGAATATAAAACTGAGGAAATCTGCTGGAATGTAGAGCAAAATGACAAAGAAATGAAAAACAGGAGAAAATAAGAAAATTAGAAAATCAGTTCAGGAGAGCCAATATCCATATAACAGAAATTTCAGACAAAGGGAAGAGAGAAAAGAGAAATATTAAATACGACAAACTAAAAGTCCCCAGAATGCAAGGATATGAGTTTCTAGATTAAAAAGGACCACCAAAAACCTAACACAATAAATAATAACTGCACACATCAAGGTGTATCAAGAAATTTTAGAACACTGGAAATGGAGAAAATGTATGAATTTCTGAGAGGGAAAAATGGGTCACACCCATAGAACCAGGCATTAGAATGATTCCAGATTCCCCAAAAGCAACACAGAAAGCTAAAATACAGTAGAGTAACGCTTTACAATTTTTGAATGAAATGATTTCCAATCCAGAATTTGTACTCGAACTATCACATGTCTGAGCAGAGAGTAAAGATACTTCCAGACCTCCAAGTTCTACAAAAATTGCCTACCATGCACCAGGAAGCTACTGGATCTAACAAAAAAGAGAGGCTAAGGAAATGCCTATGGAAATCCCAAGATAAGACTGTAAATTAGGCCTAGAGAGCAACCAGCCTAGATTCCATCACATCCAAAGACTGAGGGAGAAATCTTCAAATACTAAATGCATCTAAAGCTATTCAAAAAAATGGTCTGCACAACTTAGGGAGAGTTTGGGATTAGACTGTTGTAAAGTACACAGAAAACTCAAAACAAAAGAAGAAAAAAAAGACTATAACTAATTCTAGAGAAAATAGTTGTATGGGAAAGGCATAGTAATCATAGTCCTTTAGAGATTTGGCAGGAATAGAATCTTCTTACAAATTAATTTAAAAACTAATACTAATATAACCAACATACTGCCAAAACTTACTGGTATTTTAAAAGAATGGGGGATGAGAATAATGCAAGTATTTGGGAAGAAGGGCATGCAGGGGATGACAGAGAGCTAATCTTTACTTCCAGTCGGAGATTGCTATGGTTTAAATGTGTCCCCCAAATTTCACGTGTTGGAAACAATCCTCAAATTCATGTTAATGGCATTTGGATGTGGGACCTTTGGTAGGTAACGAGGATTAGATAAGGTCATCAGGGTGGGGCCCCCATAATGGGACTGGTGGCTTTATAAGAGGAGGAAGAGAGACCTGAGCAGGCATGCTCTTGTCCTCTTACCATGTGACACCCTCTGCGATGTTATGACATAGCACAAGGCCCTCACCAAAAGATGACCAGATGTGACCACCTGATCCTGGACTTCCCAGCCTCCAGAACTGTGAGCTGAATAAACTTTTTAAAAAAATTACCCAGTCTCAAGTATTCTATTATAGCAATAGAAAATAGACCAAGACAGAGATAATGCCTAAAATGAGGAAAAAATCAAGAACTAGTGATACTAGTATGTTATATTAGTGTGTTATTTAGAAATACATCAAAAGAATCAACTAAAGTGGTTGCCTCTAGATCCTTTATTTATTTTTTAAACTTTATTAATTTTTTTCACTTCTATCAAAAGAGCTGTGTTTTTTCTGTTGCTGTTGATTTTGTTTTGTTTATCATTATACAATGTAAACATTTTTTGTGACCCTTTACCAATTTCTCCTCTGGGACCTTTAAATGGCATAGGAGAACCCTTTGGGGAACTGCCTGATGTTTTTGGTAACAAGCTCTAGTTCACCTATTTGAATATTTAAGCTTTGAAAAAATATAAACTAAATTAAAAACAAAACTGTCATAACTACATGACTAGACCAGAATTTGAGCCCATGTAATTTAACTCCTAATCAGTTCCATTAATTTGTGAGCTCCAAATGGCCCTGTGCTTCTTAGTTCCACCACTGTGATACTGCTTAGCACAAAGTAAGCCCTCAACCATGTTTCTAAATGAGTGGGAGGAAGTGAAAGAATGGGATTACTTCTGTATGACAAGGGCAGAGGAAACAGCAGAAGCAAAGACAGGAAACAAAGTGAGCAAGAGCTGAGCAAGCATGGGACAAGGAGAGAGGAGGAGGAATAATGACAAGCACCCCAAAAACCCACTGGGCGTATGAAGCAAGATCCAGTGAGAGCTATGGGGCAGAGGAGCAGGAAGACAGATCCACGTGGTCCTGACTGTATGTCTACAAGCCTCAGGAGTGGTTTGTTTTGTAAGGGAGGCAGTTTTCCCAAATAGTTTCAGCCTTCTGGAATCAAAAGTAGTACCAGGCTCTCTAAAATCCTGAGTTCTTCTTTCAGTAGTCCAACTGCAGCACAACTAGTTACTCTAAGCAGCCACTGAAAGGGCATCAGCACAAAGGGTGGATGGAGCAAGCAAAGCCTTGTGGAAGCCCTACAATGCCCCCCACCCATTTTTTGGATCTGTTTTTGCTTTTTACAAAAGCATTAAAATCCAGAGCACAAAAGAACCATATATCTGCTATTACCATTATTCATATATTCATTTCACCCAAAGTTTACTAAGTATTTACACTATGTCAAGCAGCATGTTGGAGTATAGTTTCTAATTTTAAATAAATTACTTTCTGGTAGCAGAACTACTTACAACATAACAATGTAATTGGTATAAAAAGTACCGTGGAAACTCAAAGGAATAAAAGACTATATATTTAAAGTTTTTATTATGTAAATTATCAAACAGAGGTAGAAGTAAAAGACTACTCCACCAAACTCCCATATACCTGTCACTCTGCTTTGATCATCCTCATCTCATGGCCAATCTTGTTTCTTTTCTAAACCCACTCATTGTTTTTGAGACATCACATTATTTCATCCATAAATATTTCAGCATGTATCTCTAACACAAAGAGACTCTTTCTTTAAACAATATGAATCTGAATCTTGAAAAATGAGCTAGTTTATAGGGCCGGCCTGTGGCTCACTTGGGAGAATGTGGTGCTGATAACACCAAGGCCGCGGGTTTGGATCCCTATATAGGGATGGCCAGTTAGCTCGCTGCAGAGAGTGTGGTGCTGACAACACCAAGTCAAGGGTTAAGATCCTCTTACTGGTCATCTTTAAAAAAAAGAAAAGAAAAACGAGTAATTTTTTGAAAATTCAGGTATATTAAACATAAAACGCACAGATCTTAAGGTATTCAACTGACTTCCAACAATTGTATATCCCTGTGTAACCACTATCCAAAACAACACACAGAACATTTCCATGGCCCAGAAAGTTCCCATATGTCCCTTTCTAGTCAATTTTCCACACCCCTAACCACTTTCTGATTTCTATCTCTGTTGGCAATTTTGCCTATTCTTGGACGTCTATAAATAGAATCATAGAGTATTTATGAGGTTCTAGGGTGCCTAGGTTTCTAGGCCAAAAGAAGGGGGGAAAGCACTCCAGCTGGAACGTAAAAACACAAAGTTGTGTAAGGATGTGTTCATGGAATGCTGAAGAGCTAAGGAGGGTTGAAAACTGGGACTGGAGACTGGTAACCAACAGAAAAAAAGACTAGAAGAGGAGGCTCACTGCAAAGTTAGGGTTTCCAATTTAATTGCCACAATTAATTTCTGGGAACCAAGTTGTTATATAAGCTTTTCTTTGACCTAAAAATTGGCCAGTTCTCTCAATATGCTCCTTTCTCCTCAACTCTCCAGTTGAGAGTGACCAAGGCAGGAGCAGTGTCCTATATCCCATGGCTATTCACTCCCATCTTGTCCAGGGGCTCCTCAGCCATCTTAGGGAAGGGAACAAGCCCCCCTTAGCTTTCTTACAAGAGGGCACAGTCTCTGCACCCATTTTAAACAAGCAGTCCCAAGTCCAAGCGGGAGACTTACCATTATCTGGATTTCTCTCTTGCACACCTGGAGATCATGCTCATTGTTGACAAACATGCGTTTCAAGGCACATTTCATCCCATTGCTTGTCCTCACCAGAAACACAATAGCAAATCCACCTGTGAGAGAAACACACACAAGTTCTTTTGAATCACATTCAAAAAGTCAACCAGATGACATTGGTGGCTGCAGGCTGCTGTTGTCACTGTTAATGGTATTGATGCCACCATCAGCCAGCCCTTAAGGCTAGCATGGCCTAGAAGGCATTCTCAAAAGTCAGAGATATTACTTGTGGCATTGGGTGGCAAGAGTCAGAAAAATTGTTCCTAAACATGTATCTCAGGATAAAGGAAGAATAGTAATTATCTTCCAAAGAACCTACAAATAAACAGATGAATGAACAAAAGAAGAAAAAAAGACATTCCAACCACTGTCCTAGGCATTTTCATGCTCTTGTTTAATTCTTACCACAATCTTATGAGGCCGAGTGTTATTTTTTCCCTTTAAAATAACAATTACGTGATTTTTCTTCTTTAGCCTGTTAAGCTGAAGAAAACAGAGGCTTAGAGATTTGATTCAAACCAAGAACTTTTTAAAAAAACATAAGTCCAGCCCTCCTTCCCTCATACCAAAGAGGTTAGGAAATTATTTCAATAATTGCTATTATAAATAGTTATAAATAATTTCAAGAATCTCCTCTTCTCATGCTTCCTCACTCCATCCCGCAATTCAAGTGTAACAATAGACCTTGATGATTCCTTCTGCCCTCTCTACTGCATGGGCTATTGAGATAATGCAAGATATGGGCATATGAAAGTGCTATTCTACACAGCAGACACTAGGCAAATACGATTCATTTGGGGGCAGATGTTTTAACATCTGCACTAACCTTTCCCTGAAAGTTCACAGTTCATTAACAGAAATTTATAAAACTCTAAAAGGAATTCTCAAATGCTCTAAATTTGTTACATTGTTGTGTTCCACAAGTTCTTAGAACTTACCACAACCTGGGCCGAGCCCGTGGCGCACTTGGGAGAGTGCGGCGCTGGGAGCGCAGCAGCGCTCCCGCCGCGGGTTCGGATCTTATATAGGGATGACCAGTGTTCTCACAGCGCTCACTGGCTGAGCGCGGTGCAGCCGGTCTCAAAAAGGACAAAAAAAAAAAAAAGAACTTACCTCAGCCTCACTCCCAAAGCACTGTATAAGGTGTTCAATGACATTGTTAAGAGAGGTTAACTAGATTAGTTGTAGCAAACTGTCAAAGTTGAAGGCTTTGAAATAAGCACAGTTATACTGGACACACAGTCCATCTGCCTGCCTCCTACACCTCCACCATTTAGCTTGAATATCCTGTCCACTGACCAGGTGCAGCAAAAAAACCTGCTAGGCTAGTCTCTGCACAGAGGTGGTCACAAATTGGAGAAAGGTGAATACAGAGGAAAATACAGGAGCTTGAGTTGAAGTTATAACGTAGTACTGATGTTAGCAGCCATGTGCAAAATTGATACAGATCAGTAAGCAGCCATTAGAGAACTCAGGCCTATGAGAAATAAGACTCAGGTCCTGACTGTGCCATTCTAATTCCCTGAGGCTCAGCAGCACTTCAATACCTGTCTATGGATATCCATGGCATTTCCTATGGTGTTTTTACAATAATTATTCTTTTGCAAGTTAGCTTGAATAGGTTTCTGTTCCTTGCCAGCAAAAAGAGCCTTAATCATATAGCAGTATTACATGTTTTCATAAAAGACACACATAATTTTTTTTTTTTAAAGATGACCGGTAAGGGGATCTTAACCCTTGACTTGGTGTTGTCAGCACCACGCTCAGCCAGTGAGCGAACCGGCCATCCCTATGTGGGATCCGAACCCGGGGCCTTGGTGTTATCAGCACCGCACTCTACCGAGTGAGCCACGGGCCGGCCCAAGACACACATAATTTTGTAAAAAAAAATTTTTTTGAATGGTCTTAGGTGTTCTAAATGTTCATTGTGATGATTTACCAGACACTACATGTTTGTATATTACCTGTCACTATGTTCTTCTTCAGTATTCAAACACTAAAATTTTCCATGAAGTCTTTAATTTTAACTGTCATCTCTTTAATCTTTCTACCTCAATAACATTTTCCATTTTCTTGTAATACTTTTAGTTACACTTATACTGCTCAATTATTAATTTTATTCTAGAATTTTGAGTATTTACTTAAAAAAATCCTAGCATTGAAAATTAGACATCTTACACACACACGCATATACACACACACACAAATTCCTCAATGCTTAGATGCATACTTTTTAGTTTAATTTTTAGGGTATTAGAATTTGTCTTGTAATAAATATGTACATTTATTATAGTGGTTATTTATCTCTTTTTTCCCCCAAAGTAGCCCATGATACATCTTATAATTAGAAATGGGGGAAATGGTAGTATAAATTATAAAATTTCTACGTATATTCATACCTGTTTTGTAAATAATACAAGTAGGTATTCATTTTATAGATTCTTTTAAAAATCATAGAACTGGGCTGGCTGGTTGGCTCAGTTGGTTAGAGTGCAGTGTTATTAACACAAAGGTCAAGGGTTCAGATCGCCATACCAGCCAGCTCAAAAAAAAAAAAAAAAAAAGCATAGAATTACAGACTTTGTATGAGTAGCACTCCTAGACAGCATTAAATCAAAGCATTTTGCTCTAAGGGTAGAGAAAGCAAGTGAGGATTAGGAGTCCCATGAGTTGTTATGAGCAGAACCTGGAGCAGTGTTACTCTCCTACCTGTCCAAAAAATGTTCTTTCCACTTCACTTATCATAGAAAAAACCATGTAATACCCCATTAGATAATGAGACATCTGTTAGTGCCATGAAACAAGTTGGGAATGTGTATTTCCACAATTCTGTGATACCTGGCACTACTAAAGGACAAGGTAGTCCTTTTAGAAGCAGGTTGATGATGCTGCAAATTGAGATAACTACCACCAGATGGAAACAGTGTAGTTTTCTCTGCCAGGTGGCAAGATGACCTTTCCAGCTGGGAAGAAAGAAATGGATCAGTCTCCTACCACACAATCCAGTAAGTATAACTGGCTGAGAGCCAGCTCAGATTCTCAAAGCCTATGACCATGATAAATCTAAAAGCAAAGCAATGGATCACTGCCTAACATAGACAGAACCACATTATTAAGCATCTACACCTATAAAAGGGCTTATTTGCAGGTGAAAAGCATTTAAATCATGAAATCAAAATCCAAGCCTAATAGGATTCATCAGTCTAAAACATTGGCCACTATCACTGTGTAGTTGACCAAGTGAAGATGTAAACTACTAGGTTAGAAGGTACAGAGGAAATGGCACCACTCAAGATATTTCTCGAGCACAGGTCCATGTCCACCACACGGATCAAGGTAATGAGACTCTCAGCCAGAGCTAGAGGGTTCAGGCTATTACAGAAGACTATCAACAGAGATGCTTATTTCAGATGGAGTTGCATCCCAAGATCCTGATTAAATGGAAAAATCTAAAGCTGAGTTGGGGATGATGGTTTGGACAGAATTAAGAAAATTTAACATTTCTGTACCAGTCTCTCTGCCTACTAGTATTTTTCGAAAAACAAAGATAATTTCACCCACAAGTTATTGAATCACAAAGGGAAAAAAGATCTAGTCTATTATTTGAAGTAAGTAAGTGAAAACAGACAGGGCAATTTTTGACACAGACACACTTTATGTAGGGATTTTTTAAAATCCTATTAAATATGTAGGGATTTCTTTTACTTCCACAAAGAAACATGCTTTCTCCCATTTTCCCTAAAATATATAGCACTGTTGGTTTAACTTTATCTGCCTAATTTTTAACAGAGATCTGGATGGGTATTTACAATTCACCATGTTTCAAGATTTTCTGTTTGGTTCCCTTCTGGATCATCAGTGCCTAACACAAAGCAGGCACTCAACAGTAAATTAACTTTCCTCTTAATTGTTTCTAAAGAATAGAAAAGACTACAGAAAGGGTGGAGACTATAAGAAACTAATGTGTATGGTCCATGTAAAGAGACAGCTACTACACAACTTAGGTAATTGTTACCATGTGGGAATATGGATCCAGTTTTGTTAGATCTGCAAATTTCTAAAGATAAGCTGGAAACCCAAAATTTTATGTGGAATCTCCAGATTTAAACACTGGTAACAAGTCACATTTTAAATTAATGCTGGACAGGCCAACACTGTAAAGGCTAAAGAAAATATCTAAAGCTTTTAGAGAATCTGAGCCTCCAGTCTTCTACCTCTGATCTAACCCCTTCATTTTACTGATGGCCAAGGAGGGGAAGTGACACACCCCATGTTCCACAAAGTTAGAAGATGACTTGCAAATAAATTCCAAAATACATATAAGAGCTCATACATTGGTGTGAAGCTACATGACTACATCAGTTGTCGGGTTGAGGCAATAGCTATGCTAATTGTATGGCTAGGGCAATTTCATAACTAAAGCCAAAATGTTTCATTATTTTAGTTATACTAAGTTTCCGTTTGTATTGTCAGGGCTAAGGGCTCACAGACCCTTCAAACCCATTGTACAGACGGGGTCACCAGACCCCTCAACACGCAGGTCCACACTAGGTAATTGGGAAAGATCCTGGGAGCCGCTGGCAGACGACATGAGCTCAGTTGGCAGCGGCAGCAGCAGCAGCTTACAGAAGCCTCCAGCAGCAGTGGCGGTGGCCTCCCAGAGGGTCCCAGAGGCCCTGGCAGCTACAGCTTGCAGCAACAGCCGTAGCAGCCTCCCCGCAGCCCTCCCCCCAGGGGCATCCTGTGGCTCAGGGGGGGCCTGTGGATTAGAGCCACTCGTCCTTTATACTCAAGTCCAATAACCCAGGACACCTGGGCACACATGCACAATTACATTAGACAACCAAAGAACACCTGGGCACACGTACATATTAACATCAAATGCTTGGCAAGATTCTGAACATCTAGGGGCCCTGACAATTTTCCTATATTTTCCCCAACAATTGGTTATCCCAGTTCTTGCTTTTTTCCCCTAAAGAGTTTATGGACTATTTCCCCAACCCAACATTTGTATATGACTTATTTTAAAAGAATTTCAAAATAAATTATTTCATTT